TCACCTATGTCCGCAGCCGTTTGCATTCTCTATTTGTTCCTTTGTTTCTTTTGTCTCCCATCCATTGTGCGCGATGAGCTCCCAACCGCCGCCTAGCGAAGGCAGCGACTCATCCTTTTGGGCCTCTGTTTACACGCAGGAACCGCCCAATGTTCTATGCGGAGTCATCACAGACATCAACCTCCATCGATTTACCCTGCATCAACACCTATCCACACACCGAGCTCTCACGGAGACTCCGCTACTCCACCCACCTTTTCAACGAGCCATGCCTGAAGCACTGCAAACTCACCTTCAACTTTACACCAGCAGTATACAACAGATTGAAGTTCATGTGCGCAGGGCACTTACAGCCCTTGAGGCTCTAGGCCGACATCCTCCACGAGTCTACCTCCAAGATTTCGAATCCACTCATGATGACGATTCAGCTTCTGAGGTTCCCAACAGCAGATGAACTTCTGCCAGGGCGCCCTATCAACCTACCGCCCATCACCCGACACAACATCGGCGGTCCTACAGCACACCTCAGTTCAGACCATTCCCACTCACTCCCACAACCAGTCCACCCAAACCGATACCACCATCGAGACTCTGCGTCTCCATAGGAACAACAGACCACTCCATACCCTGAACCTTGGTCGGCCGCCACCCAAACCGACCGCCTCACATCACATGCCACAGCCCAGACCGAGCTCCACTCCATGGTTCTTTCACCGGCCTTCGCCACCCCCCATCCACTTGTCACGCCTGCCACTCCCACCGCTACCAGTGACTCTACTCCCACAACAACCGCAGCGCCACCACCCACCGCTGCCACTTCCCTATCCAACAAGCAACCCAACACCGACCCAGCACAGTGGCAGTACGCCAACTTCATTCCCACCCCACCGGTGGACCAGATTCCCCTCCAGCAGGACCATCCGACTTCACATTTTTCATTGGGGGCACACCCAGGAGCTCGCGCTCCAAAACCCCACAACGCACTCGGTTCAGCCAGGGCCGCTCTTCCACACACGCAGTTCCTACCTCAACCATCCCATCAGCCATCAGCGCAACCGTCACCAGCCTATTATGCGCCACAGATGACCGCTCTGCCGCCTGGCCCCCACTACACCACACCACCACCTCCCGTCCAACCTCCAGCGTCCATCCCATCCACCCCTCACGCTTGGCCGGCACCTTACCCAACGCCAAAACCGGCACCGCCGTCCCTCCACATTCCCCAGCCAACACCACAGGCAAACCCTGGCCCGCAGCATATCTACCACATTCCCAATCCCCAGAAGCAACGAGGACACGTGCCACTCCATGCGGAGAATTATGACCCAGCGAACGATCCGTGGAGCAACTACGGCGCCGACGAGCAGCCATAGTGAGAGCACACTCCGGCCACATACCCATTTTTGATGACCACCAGTTTCGAAGAGATTTTTGAATTTCACTGGTCTTCTATGATTGTGGCTTACTGATCCTCCACCAACACCAGCTGTTTCACCTGCACCACGAAAAAAGCATCCGCTGCTTAGCATGACACGACCGTTTTATTTTACTTTATTTTTTCAGTCCTGCTGCGATAGTGGACGGTCGCTCTCTAACACTACACTTCATTTTGGCTTGCTTCAATCTTCATTTCGGTGCTGTGGATGCCGATTTTAGGGTCTGTTTCACTGTACATTTCTTTGCCGAATTTTATACGAATCGCAAGCTCTTTTGGTTCTTTATTTCAGCTTTCTTGCTCAAACTGACCGCTTCCCGCTATCATCTTCATCATCCCCCGTGCTCATCATGGATGCCCAATGGCAGCAATATTATTGGAATCATTACTTGCTGCACCAGCAACAGCTCGCTTCGGGCGCGGACACTGCCCACTACACACCGACAACCGCATATGGCCCCATGGGCCACTCCATCCGCATGCACCAACAGCATCAGACCCACCCTTACACGCCATCGCCCTCGACATCATCACCACCATCCCACACACCACCATCTCACACACCGCCGGCCACCACCTCTCCGGCCTTTCCACCGCCGCCGCCACCACCACTGCCAACGGCATCACCCACTACACCACAACCGAAGTCCTTCCAGCACAGTCCCACCCACTCGGCTCCACCAGCACCTCCTGCAACAGTTCCATTCCCACCTCCAACCATCCAAGAATCCTGGCGCTCCACCGAGTCCTGCTGGGACGTCAACGCCGTCCACGGCCATCAGCTCCACCGTCACATCCAACCCACACAGTGGTCCAGACGGGTGGGGATTGCAGGCTTGCCGACTTTTGAGGTGTTCCCTTGGTTACTTGCGTACCATGGGACCGCGGACTTTACTGCCAGGACGCTCAGTCACGGCAAGTTTTGCGGGCTCATTCCTACGAGGAGTGTTGCCGAGTCAGTTTTCACCACCCATCTCCTTCAGGAGATTCGCGATAAGCATCTGGACTTAGACGCTATCGCTGAAGCCATCCACACCAAAGCCGGCGCCACCGTCCCCAACAAAACTACACAAGCACGCGCATTCCACTCTCCTCTCATCACACTGCTAACCGACCAACTACAAGCCCACTCCCCAGCCGTTGCCGAAGGCTCCGCCATCCGAGCGCTCAAGGCCACCTCTGATGATCTTGCCCGAGCACGAGAGAAACTCCAGGCACATGGACTGGAGCTCACCCCCAAGAAAGACACGAGTCGTCCCAGCGCTCCCTCCAAACCCACACCCCCTCCCCCACCACATCAACCGCCGGCGCTCCCAGACGTGCTTCAGCCATCCTACCCCACCCTCAAGGACGACGCCCCAGAAGCATGGACCGCACCATCCATCCAACAATGGATGAAGTCCTTCGAGCCCAAAGTCCAAGAAGCGGCTCAAGAAATCTTGCGTCTACTCCAGACCAGCAAAGTTTCTACAGACCAGCTCAAAGAAGCCGCGACCCGATACGGCCTCCCCTTGATTCGAGTGAACAAACTCTCGATCAAGAGCCTCCAACACATTGTGAGCGTGGGGGCTGCCATCGCGTGCTGACTAGCCCTGAACAGCCAAAGCCAGCCGCATACAACCACACTCCACCAACTCTTCCGTCTCCACCAAGCACTCTCTACTCTCATCCACTTCAGCCAATACATCGAGCGTGCGGAGGCCCTTTTTGCTGTGGTCAGCATTTTGCGGCTGTGACTTCGTCAGATAACAAAATTCCTGTGTTGAGTTTGCTGCGATGAGTCGAGGGGTGTTTAGTTGGTATCCCTACCTGCTGTAAAAACTCTATGACAAGTCATTCAATAGATGCAATCTTGCTGAATTTTGCACGTTTGACCCACAACACCCTAGCATAAGTGAGACAACACAAAATATCAGCGTACCGCCACCAAAACTGAACTGATACACCACCAAAACAACAAAACAGAACAAAAACACCACGAAAACATAGCCGGCAAACTACCCAAGCATGAGCAAGACACCACCGAAACATGCCCGACAAACCAAACACCTAAACATGTGAGACACACACCTACACATGACCGAGACACCACCTAATCATGACGGAGACACCACCTTAACATGACCAAGGCACTACATAAACATCCCGCCGCGCTGACAACTGCGCCTTCCTTTTGGATGGCGCCTCATTTGCGCACACATAATTCCCCTCAAATCCGCACACAGACTTTTTTACATATTTAACTCAAATGCGCACACATGATTCGCCTCATCTGCGCACACATCGATTACATTCCTCTTTAAACAGCCCATGTTACCCCAAACTCAAATGCGCACACATGATTCGCCTCATTTGCGCACACACAAATTGAGTCATGATGATCTCTTTTTGCTCATTGCTTCGTTTGATTGATGATGTGTTAATAACGTCCCTCTGGACATTCATCTACATGATGATCTCTTTTTGCTCATTGCTTCCACAGGTTCACGTCACACAGACGCTCTGCGTTTGATTGATGATGTTGGGTTGGGATGGGCGTTTCATCTTCTGACGTGTTAAGGTGTAACAACGTGACTTCCTGTCGAAATCATAACGACACATGTTCCGCATGAAAGCTCGCATGTCTGCGCGCTGTGCCCGTCCACGGATCTGACAGCCCAAACAGCACATCTAAAGCGATGGACGTAAAATGAGACAACAAGGTTCAGATTGTGAAACAATCTGGTCAGGTTCCATTCATTCATTCATTCATTTTTTCAGCCGTGTAAGCCGCGTGTACAGCCGAGGAAGCCGCGTGCACATCCGAGTTTCGCGTGCACAAACGAGATCAATTCTCCGCGTGTACATTCGAGGGAAATTCCGCGTGTACAGACGAGGCTCCGCCCTTCCTTTTTGCGTTTGTTGGGTCGTCAACCTTCAACCAGTGGGTTCAAAAACCTCTCACAACCTGCGCTTTGGCACATTCGACTAACAAAAAGCAAGTCTTGCACGTCTCATTTCCCATGGTTTTCAAGGACAATTTGGGCTTCACTGTAGGGAAATACACATTTTCTCACAAGCACACACATGAAATTTGCACGTTTTTTGGGGGGCGCTTGAAGGCATTTTGTTATTTTGCTACAGCGAAACACCAATTCGAAAAACTCTAGCCAAGCGTTGCGTTTGGACCATTTTCCCGTCAGCATCGAAGGATGTTTGAAACGGTGTTTCCTGCACACAGCATCAAGTCTTTACTTGTGCTTTCCCACCTCCAACAGTACCTTTGGACACTCTTGAAGATTTGGGGGTTGACTTCACCATTGGACATGAGTGTGTGCATGGATGTGGGAATTGCCATCTTCGCGCAAGGCCAAAACTCATCTATGGAGCCTGTGTTGACATCCAGTGACGGCTGTGGCCCCCTTCTTTTGACAACATTAAACTCTCCCTGGCTGTGGTTGCATGACAAGTGCGCCAGTCCAAACTGCCTAGCCAAAGCTACATATGCTGGAGCCCCATCCGTCACCAGAACTGCTTTGGCCCGACCTTTGGCGTTGGGAGCAATGTCCTCCATGGCCTCGCAACGCTAAATGCGTTCCTTGGATTCAGGCGGTGGTTTACCTCCGGCTTTTGCAGAAACCACACCCAAGCTGTACAGGTGCACCTGACGTGCCTCTTCCGAAGTGGCTTTGTCAGGCGGCCTTTGCATCAATCCCAAAACTTGGATGCAAGCCGCTGCATCCATTCTTCGAACCATTGCCAATGAAGCGCGACCCAGACGGTGTGACAAAACTAGTAAAGCTGCAACTATTGTCTCCGTGACTTCCCTCGTCTCCAACAAGTGTTCAAACTTCGTCCACCATAGTAGACAGTAGAGGTACATGTTGCTCTAAAAGATCTACGTGTAAAAACGAAGTAACAAGATGTACACTAGGCAGACAGCACCGCAACCACTTAGGCTTAGGGCAGCCACGCTGCCTGCTCTTAGAAAAAACTTGAACCAGCGACAGGAGCAACCCAAGATGTATGATGTAAAAAAGCCGAAGACGTTCGACATCGCGGACCGTACGTCATTGACCCCACCCACCCCCCTGAACCCCAGTCCCAAAGGATGCACCTTAAAAGCATGTCCAGAGTCTCGATGAGAGCTCTTCCATGCTTGGCGCGCCCCATACGTGGGTCGCCTCATGTTTGCGACGGAAATGCGCCTAGAAAGTGTGGGCATCGGAGCTCCAGAATCGCTTGAAAGGCCACGCAAACAAGTGTTGACAACGATGGCAACGGGCCACAAGGTAGAGACCAGTTTTCCCGGTCCGCATCGCTTGGATCATGGCCGTCGGCATCTAGCACAGAGGTGTCAACAGAAGACACAAGCACGCGCGTATACATTCAACCGTGACACAATGATTGGAAGGCAGGCGCCTGCTTCGCAAAGGAAGCCAAGAACAGCTTCAAGCTCTGCTTCAGCATTCTCAGCCAAATCGGACGCCGTGGGCGAAGTGGCTGGCGCGTGCTCGGTGGGGTTTGCCGCAGCAATTTCGCCTGAATTTCATGGCGCAGTTTATACAGAAGCCGCCGCAGCAAAAGGGCAGGTGTTCTGCCAGCTTGCCTTCCGCGCTCTAGGACTGGGAGAAATGTAGATCGGCAAGTGCTCCAAGGCTGCCATGTGCTCCTAGCTGATGTCATGAAAAATGAAAGGTTTTGCATGCGCTGCTCTGGCGCAGAGGCCTCGTGCGAGAGCTTGCCCCAGAAGAACTCGAAAAAGGAGAGCGCCTTGTCTTGTCGGAGCACAGCGTTGCATCCCGCGTGTCCAAAACAAGCTCACAGCATCAAATTCCACCTCACAAATGTACTTTGCAGGTACAAATCTAGTGGAACGATTCGTAAGTGCTCGAATTTCGCTCAGCCGGAAGGCTAGATTTTCGAAATCTATCGAAAGACCTGTGTCATAGAGTTTCTGCAAGGTTGAGGGTTTTGAGACCAAGTCAAATAAAAGTTGTGAGTATTAGCATTTAAACAAATTAATGAAACATAATGAAACTATATAACTATGCAATCTATGCTGCACATGTCACCCACCTGACCTACCGACCGATCTCTCACCGGTCGCTCCTTGTCAGCCGACCAAACGTGTGGTTCCACATGTCTTCCCGCTGTGACACGGTCCCTGTGACACGCGCAAGGGACAACCGCTCGCCAGGACGCCGGCCGAGCAATCCGCAGGACAAGGTCAGGGCAGGGACCAGGGCCCAAATGATCAGCTTCACCTGCCGTGGCAAGTGGCAGCTCCAGCAGGTTGGCGTCAATTGTGTTGCTTTTCGGAGTTCCGAAACTCTCAGGTGTCTTTGGCCAAAAGTTGAGTATGCAGCCTAACTTGCCGCGCTTTAGGTTCCTAGTGCGATTTCCACTTTCTGCCATGCTGCGGGCATTGCCTCATCAACCTGGTACAACGATAACTTCCATGCTCGTGCTACACCAAGAACACAAAAGAACAGCTAGATTTGGCATGCTTTGCCAGCAGTTTGTGGATTTCCAGAACTGACGGGCTTGCTGACAGACTCAAGAACCGACCAGGAAAACTCACGTTGCCAAATGTATTTATTCAGTGCCAAGATGTTCGAGTTTTCAAACCTAGATTTGTCAAATCTGATTGGATAGATTTGGGTAGTAGAAAGGTTAGATTGAGAAAATTACTCCTTGAGCACTCCTCTTTCGACCCATTGCTCAGACGGATGATTTGTCATGTGAGTCTCACATGACTGGTTCTAAGCTCAAGTCGTAGTTCCCACCAACCTCTAAAACAATACTAAGAGTCAAACGTATTCAGCAGCACCTCCCAAGGACTCTCATATTGTAGCTCTGTTGAATCACAGCTTCCCTGCTTTGCTTCCCCCAACTCCGACGGCAGGCGATTCATGTCCAGTCGAGGGGCAGGGCTTAAGCGACAGAGTCGCAGGTCAAAGACGGTCTGCCCCTGCGCGCGCGATCGGGGACCAAGCGGAAGGCTCATCTCAGTGTGGAATCAAACCAGGCTTCCACTTCCACTCATAGACAGAGAAACTCCCTCTCTCCGTCAAATGAGCTGAGATCGACCTGGTCTGCCCTTCCAAAGTAATTACCAGGTCTCAGTGCTTCAGAATCGGTTATCGGACACTAACACGAACAAAATGAGAAATCTTCTTCAGATTGTACGATCTCGTCTTGCGCAGTCACCATATCCCACAATTTAAAGCAAAAGACCGTGTGCCATCTTTGCATGTCTTTCCTACGTGCCTTCTCCCAAAACGGCTCCATGTCGCAGACCTGTCAAGCTGCCACAACGGTCCAAAAGATGTTTCAGACATGATTGGATTCTGGTCCATCGCTGTTCTTGAAATGAATCTGACATCAACCCCAAAAGCGAATGGCTCTCATCGCTCAGGCCTTCATCGTTTGGCTCTCCACAGCCTGTGTGGTGCGGGCGGATTGAAAGAGGCCACAACGATAGACGGTCTGATCTGAGGACACCTGTATGACACAAACGATTCGACGATCTCCGCAATGCATCCAAGACATGTTTTCCTGTGTGACGTGTTCAATGATTTCAATGGTTCCCATGTGACGTTTGCATGAATGATTGAAGGGAACGGTCGATCAGTGAATCTTTTGCTGTGCTTCTCAGAGGAAGCCTTTAGCAGAGTTGGTTCAAGCAAGCCCTTTCTCTGTTCCTGCTTCATCCTGCATAGCCGGCACAGCCATGTATCTGCTTGTTCAAACATTCACAAGTCAGGGCATGCCCTGGATCTTCCTACCGATTGCCTTACAGCCCTGGATGCATTGGCGATGGGACCTCTTACATCCACTGAATCTTCAATGGAAACTCCCATGTCTTATCTACTTAACATCGAACCAAAAAGAAGAACTGTTTACCAGGCTTTTGTTAGGGGTTCATGCTGGTTCCAAGAAAGCACATTCAAGAACAAGTTATATGCATTGTGTATATGTGTGTATAAATATTATATATTTATACATAATATATATATACATAATCTCTCCTCATCACCTCCCTTTCGTCAACACCGGAGGGGGCGCCTCTGTGAGGGCGACCTGTGACAGCAACGTGCCCTGGTCGAAGTGACTCCTTGGGACGGGAGTCGGAGTCGCGGCCTGTGGACACTCAAGCAGCGAGAAAGACCGAACCACCTCCCAAACGAAAAGGGCCGGAAGGAAGAGGCTGGGAAAATGGGGAGCAACCCAGGAGGGCAGCTGACACAAGGGACCAGCTGGCAAAAAGACCTGGAAGCCGAAAGCAGCAACAAATAACACAAAAACAACGAGACACATCAAAATGAGAAAGGTCAGGTCGCTCTTGTGAAAGGTCGGATCTTGACTGTTAAGGGAGTGACCTTACTGGTTTGATCCGTGTGCCATCTGTCAAAGGAACCCGTGACCATCCTCTCCTTTCCAGTGAAACCCTATCCCTATCCCCTCCTTTCCCCGCATCACATCACTCGCTGCCAGGCCACATGATCAGTTGCTGGCCCACCTGGCTCACTCCGCCAGTCAGGAGGCCACCAGTGCCACCGGTGCCACCACCGGTGCCACCGGTGCCACCGCCAGTGCCGCCACCAGTTCCGCCGCCAGTCTCGCCGTCTGGGCCAGAGACGAAGGTGACGGGCCAGAGACGGGGAGGGAGGGTTTTGAAGGGTTTTTAAATGTAATTCTAATAGCAAACATTGTTACTACTAGCAAGGCACTGGTTACTAGTAGTAACAAGAAGCTATGTCTCACCTTAAGTCTTGTGAGGTGTCTCACCAAGTTCAGTGGGACCAATGGTGTGTCCTCCCCTCACACATCCACATGAGCTACATGCGAACAGGTCTGACAAGTTCCCTCTTTGGAGACACATGATCCGCACCACCTGAGGCCATGCTCGGGCCCCTTACTGGCTGCAGCATCAGCAAAGGCTTCCTGAGGAAAGGCTCAAACCGGCGAATTTGGGCTCCTCGACTCGACCCTGGGCCAAGACATGGGGACTTCATGTGTTTTCCTCCCCGGATTCTTGGGATGAAACTCGTCCTTTTTGAGCACCTCACAGTGAGGGGCGTCTTTCACGTGTGATGAAAAGCAAGTTCTAATGGAAGAGAGCTGAGGCTCTGGAGCCTCAGGGCTTGCATAGTCCCGGTTTTCTTGCGGATGCGGGGGCGTTCGTCCATCAAGCCATATTAGCGAACAACCCTAGACCAGGGATTTCCAACTCTCCGCTGGTTGGTCAGCAAGCCAAAACCCACCCCACATGGACCACCACCACTGGCTTCTGAACATCTTCAAAGCTCCATTTCAGTGAACGGTCTCTCTGCCCCACAGCCCTTGCTTTAAGTCAAGAAAATGGATCACTCTTGAAGCCTGGTCCATCCTCCTCCACCCTGCCCAGCGGGACTCCACGAGACTCCGCGTGGCCTGCATGGCATTGAAGTACTCTTGTGGCGTGGCCCTCGGAGTCGGCGCGACGAGCATGTCTCTGTTTCTTGCGCCCCGGTCCAGCGGAGCACCGGTCCTCTCTGTTTGGGGTGCCCGACGCATTGGGATCCGCGGAGATCTCAAAGCGTATCTGGTGAGTCAGCGTGGAGACCGTGTTCATCCCACGGCGACGGATCCCACCCGCTTTGGACCGGAACTGTTCCTGGAGTTTTTGCTGCGCCCTGAAGAAGGGACCCCAAAGAATGTTTGACATCGGGTGATAGTTGTGTACTTGTACAACCACATCCTTGGACTTGATTCCATCCCTCATGCCTTCACAAATCCTTTTTGAACAACCTCACCTTTGCTTTTCAGACCAACTGGTCGTTGGGTCCTTTGAATTGGCGCACGGAGAAGACGGTGCTGGTGCCGACACCACCCTGGCAGACGGCGAAACGGCGGCCGTGTGGTCTTGACGCCCCGCCCTGGCTTAATGAAGTAGGTGCCCTACTTCATTCAGGGAGTAAGCCGTAAGCAAATAGCTACTAGTTAGCTTCTAGAAAACAGGACGCAGGATTGAGGGAGCGAGGGAGAGGGAGAGAAGGAGAGAGACAGAGGAAGAGAGGAAGAGAGGAAGAAGCCAAACAAAGGTCTCTCTCTCTCTCTCTCTTTCTGTGATGGGGTTCTTGATATCCCAGGATCTTGAGAAACGTTGGCCTCAAAATCACTGCATTTGTTCACAGCTCAGTTGAAGACTAGCTGAGAAGCTGTTCCATCAATCAGGTTTCACTAGACTTCCACGGAGTGTCTCAAAACCAGGGGATTCTGAGAAGTCATAGAAGAACTACTGTATATCAAAGTATGTGTTCATCCGGGATGGTCCCCCTGTTCCCCTGTTCAACGCAAGGCTCAAGTATCATAAACCATAAACCCATACCCTTAAACCCATACCCTTCCGACCCAGCCAGCCAAAGAAAAGGCCACCAGCTTCTTAAACCAAACACACCCTCTTGTCCCCTCTCAAAACACCTGAAAATGATGCTTTTGAGACTGAAGAGTTTTTTCACCCAAATCAAAGGGGACAGTCGCTCCCGCAACTCCTGAAACCCGACGTTCGTAACTCTCCTGAGCCACCGTCAGCGGAAGCAGCACGAGGCCGACAAGCCTCACCCGCCGTGGAGTTCCCATCCAGTGGGCGAAGGCAAGATTCGCCACAGAAGCAAAGCAACAATTAGAAACAAGAACGCTACTAGGAACAAGTGCATCGCTACTAGTAACAAGTGTCTTATTAGTAGTAACAAGAAGCTAGTAGAAACAAGAATTGAGCTAGGTAGCAAAGCAACAATTCAGATCTCTGTCCTCCACCGACACAGTTCGATCGCCCCAGCCTTCGGACCTTCGCCCCCATGCGGACCGGTGCGGGACCTGCGGGGTGCGACATGCGCAGGGTCTTCGGGGCGGACCCATCGATTCTGAGGTGCGAGAAACCTCACCAACGCCTAGCTCCGAGAACCGCACTCAACCTCTTCTGTAAGAGCCTGTTGCAGCTTCAGGTGATCATCATTGATCCGTCCAGTTTCAATCTTTTCTTTTTCGGGCTTTTCCTCCAGCAAGTGCTGGTTTTGGACATGGAGGTCACCGAGGTGGCTTCATTCTTCCAGTGTTACAAGTGTTCCAAATGTAGGGATACGCCATGTTCACAGGGACATCGCCACATGACATCGCCACATGGCCCAGAGAAAGCTTTTTGGATTTGACTAACCCCCCGAGGCATCAGAAGTCACCATGTCCACGCCTTCACCATGCCATGGTTGGTGCTCCTGTTTTGTCCATGGGCTTCACATGTTCATGGCGAGATCGGAAGGAGATCATGCCAAGGGACGTGGAAAAAAGAGTGACCGGAGTCCGAGGAGTGACCTGCTGGACTCCGGTGGATGGAGCTGAATGGTGTCCGTTGAGCTCGGTTGCGTTCCTGGCTCGCTTGTGTCCCTTCAAAGCTTGAGGACTGAATGGTGGCCAACAAACAGAGGAACTGTCGCAACGACTTGAGCCGTCAGCAGGCGGGCACTTGAAGACGTTAAGACAGTAAGACTCTACAAGTACCAGAGTTGGACCTAGCCTTTTTGAGCTCAGATGCCTCACCCTGTGATGTGCTGAAAAACTATGCTGCATTACACTGCTTCCATACAGTTCTCTGGAATACTCTATTTTTCTGAACTCTCTGTACAATTGCTACTTGTCTTGCTACAAAAGAAACCTTCTAGGTCCTCGTGCTCGACACTTGATTTGTGGAAGTTCAGAACCCACCGATTGCACAGGACACGTCAAGAAACCTTGCCGTTGGGGCGGCTCGTGGAGGAAGCATCCTCTCACTTTGGGGCAAGCTACAAGTGTTGATTTCGCGCGATGCAGCCATAGTCCATAGTTGATGAGTAGTTCCATGCTGAGGGCCATGTCCAGGGACAGGTTGATCTCAAATCAGTCATGGAAGCAGGTGAAAGCCACATGGTTCTTCAGGTTGACACCCAAAAAAGAAAGCACACCCAATTCTCGGAATGGGCGCCTTAAGAGCACATCCTTCAAGTCAACTTAGGGGGATTCCATGGCGGTACTCTGCTGAACACATCATCAACAGCAGTCATGCACTATGCACAATCTACTTAGCAATCTTTGTCATCATGTTTGGTTTGACCTACATCCACTTCCCAGATGCCAAGCTCGCCATATTTTTCCGGACTTTGAACCGTTCGACCAGGAGAGCTACGATAAGCAGAAACGTTCAAACAAGAACACCCCGTGGCGGCTGTTCTGTGTATGGATCAAGTTGTGCAAACCTATCCGATCGGCCAGTGTGTTAGTCTGAGGATGCAAGATTATCTCTATCAACAACTGGCAAACAACTTGGCCACGGTTGCAGCATCGCTGCCACTTCACAGAGCTACCGGAGAGGAGCGCATAAGATCCGCACGAACAGAACCAGGCACAAAGAAATTGCCAAAACGATCGGGCATTGCACCTCGTTTTCAGGTCGCTTCGCTTTGCGACACCTCGAGTCATCCCACTCACGTCGAGTGCGTTCTCACGTGCTCATGGCCCATCCGCCGAGGCGACAACGCTGTTTTTTTTCAATCCAAAGACCATGGGTGTCCGAGGAATAATCCCCTTGAATCATGGGAAGTGTGAGATGTCCAAGCCATCACCTGAATGTCCGAAATCATTGTTTTTCGTGGTGCTTGAGAGTGTTCTATTGTTGACTGATTAAGAAAAAGACTATGCAGAAGTTTGACCGTCCAGGTCAGGGTTCTTTCCCTGATTCACGGTGGAACATCAAAAGCTCAAGATGGCCTCCGGCGCAGATTGGTTTCACGAGCGGAGAGGGTTTCGAAGTGTCGAGGCGTCGAAGAACTCTGGGACGTGAGGAGCACGAAGAAAATCACTGCTGACGCCCCTTGTTGCAGCGAAGTCCATCAAAGGAGTCGAGTCATTATATACATGTTCATCTGCACAACTTGTGGTCCACAACTTGCAACGTTTACCACCCGAAAGAGCAGCCCGGTTTTCCCTGTTTCGGTGTGCGTCTTCCTTGTCAGGTCACAACACAATTGAGTGCTGGGGCATACACACACACACACTCATGGATATGCGTACTGACTTGACAGCGGTGCCACACGCCGGCCTAGCGTACCAATTCCTAAGAGTACGAGTAAGAACCACGGAGCCTCGGGGTCTTCAAGAGGAAGTAGGGCCAAAGTCTCAAGATCGAAGGCGACGATCAAGTCGACATGACGACGTACGCTCTTGACTGCCAAATGCATTAGCCCTTTACCAAAGGTTAAAAATTGTGCAGGTACAAGTGGTTGATCAGACCACTCATCCACCGAAATGCCATAGCTTCGTTGGACTGGATAGGCAAATCGGCTCCAGTCCCCCTGCTTGAAACAAAACGAAAACAATTCAAAAGAATCCCTGTGACAAGGGGCACACACACACACACACGCCTCCCCGAGGGGAGGCGAGAAGCACTAAGGTCAGGGCAAAAGTGTGAGTGTGCGCGCAATAAGACAAAAGAATGAAGACACGAAGAGGACCAGACGGGACGAGAATGTGTGTGGTTGCAATGAAAAGGAACCAAGTGCGCTGGAACAACCGATGACAACCCACCTCATTGTAAAAACCTGGGCAACCTGAAACCTGATTTGAAAGTATGTTGTGCATGTACAAACTAAGGGCCGGGCAGTGTGCACGCAAAAGCAGGAAAGAGATGAGATGACAGGAAGCAAGGGAAGACATGAAAGAAAAGAAGAGAAAAGAAGTGTGTAAAGGGGAAAGGATGAAAAGGGAACCAAATGGAGGGGACCGAAGCCGATGAAGCCAACCCTCATTAAAACGACCTAGGAAAACCTGCCTCGTTTGAATGTACACGCTGTATGTGCACCCAAGGTCTCGACAGGTTCCAATGAACCTCGAACAAACTTCGGCGGCTGCGGCCACGTACGCCGTGCCAATATGGCTGGCTGCTTTGACCGCTGCGGTCACGTAAAGGCATGAGCCAACTTGGAATTCAATAGTTCAGCAAATCTAGGCAAAAACTTTGGCATAAGCCTCCTACGCCCGCTCTGGGCACGCACATCTCCGAGCAGGGGAGACAAGGACAGACACCCGTTCGACGGGTCCACGGGAGGCACTCTACGGGCTCATCCCGGACTGGCACGAGGCCAGACACACTTATGGATATGCGTACTGACTTGACAGCGGTGCCACACGCCGGCCTAGCGTACCAATTCCTAAGAGTACGAGTAAGAACCACGGAGCCTCGGGGTCTTCAAAGGAAGTAGGGCCAAAGTCTCAAGATCGAAGGCGACGATCAAGTCGACATGACGACGTACGCTCTTGACTGCCAAATGCATTAGCCCTTTACCAAAGGTTAAAAATTGTGCAGGTACAAGTGGTTGATCAGACCACTCATCCACCGAAATGCCATAGCTTCGTTGGACTGGATAGGCAAATCGGCTCCAGTCCCCCTGCTTGAAACAAAACGAAAACAATTCAAAAGAATCCCTGTGACTACAAGGGGCACATACACACACAAACCACGTGGTGACTCTGGGAAGGCAAGGGGAATTACCCATCTGACCATGATTCTTGGACATCCTGTAGTAAAGCTAGTTTTCGGTGAAGTTTCCAGGACATGAACAGCAACGAAAAACAACAGGAATATAAGGAATACTCCTGGCTACCCGCAAATGGTCTCGTGAAGAATCGGTTCCTCTTCAGCACTTCAAGCTCCTCACTCCTTCCAATTCTTCTGATTTGGGCTTCTGCGGGAGCCTCCGGTCCGAAGAACAGCAGAACCTGTCCGAAGAAGTGAATACGGTGCACTTGGTGGACCAAGTAGTTACTTACGGCAAGCTGGCAGCTGGCCGAGCATTTCAAAAGCACTTCTTTGGAAAGTTCAGACAATCAATGGCAGCAAAATTTCGCTGCAGTGTCCACCTCCACCCTTGGCCAACCAAACTCCAAACCTCTAAGAGTATTAAAGCAACAAGGCTTGTGGAGACCAGTTACTGTGACAACCCACTCTCTTGACGAAGGAAGTAGGATCAACGTTCAAGCAGGAGGCTGGTTGCGTCAACATGTTCACACCCCTTCTTCCAGAAGGTCGCTGGTGCTTCCGGCTGTGCGTTCCAATGCGAAACCAGGCTTCACGCTGGCTGCGTGTGGATTGCATGGCCATTTGGCACCTTGTAATGTAAAATGAGGTCCCCAGATTCGTAGGGCATGACCAAGAACAAGAAAGTCACAACTGCAGATACTCTCTGGATGAGGATCTGCAATCTTCCGCCAGCTACATTTACATCCTCTCCAAGGCTCCTTTAAGTCAATGAGAAAGCACTTGAAAAACACTGAATGTTGAGCACTCAGGTTAAGCGTCGGAGCTCTGAAGGTTTGGTCGCGGCGAATGACTTCTTCTGCAAGCTAGCAGCTAGAAAGGACATGAAAGGACTGAATTCAGACACAGCCACCAGTTGGGACACGACCGATCTTGCTCGAAACAGCTGGGACCAAGGAAACCGGTCGACGAAACCACCGGTCATGTTTGTCGTGTGGGTCTCCAACGACAATCGTCATGTCCATTGGGCTCTTGTTAGGCCTTTTGGTTCCATGCTCGTCCTCTACTCCTACATGAGCTTCTACCCGGGCCAGCAAACCTACCAAAGCTTCGCCTTTAGCACGAAGTATCCTGGGCTAAAGTCTCAAGCATGCATACATCCCCCTGTGGCAGGCTATTCCAGTCAAACGATGTTTTGGAAGAAAACCAGGAGTGGTATACAGGTTCGCAGATACTGCCCAGCACGCTATCCCAGCACAACTCCCCAGTCAGCTGGAGTTTTGAGTCGAGCCACCAACCGAACGAAATCGAGAAAAAGCCGAGCCCCATCTGGACTGCTTCGTCTGCTGCGAGACTTCTCGAGACCAGACTCGTAAGGAAGTATTCTAAGAATATGTGCCAGAGTCGCTATGCGAAGGGGTGAGACAGCAAAAAACACATGGCACGTCACGAAAGCGGACAGTCGAATGACGGTTGAAGAGGTGGCCTCCGAGCCTTGGGATTTTTTCCCGTCCGGTTTTTGGGTCGCTAAGAACATCGAACATACCCAGCGACCTGGATGTTTCTGGAAGATCTAAGAGTCCAACGCTGGAGTTCTTGGGGTTCTTCAACGACTGTTCTTCGACCATCGCGCAAAGAGAAGACCAGGTGATACTCCGTAAACAGAAATGATCGTAACCCGTGCCGCGCAGGTGTAGCTGGCCTCAAATCGAGCAGCAGGATGCAGGGGCTGTAGGGAACGATTCTTCGGACCGAAACATGCACACAGAAAACCCCGTGTTGGAGACTGTTCAATCCGGGGTCTCCCCAGCCCCCGGCTGGGTAGACAGTTCTATGTTCCGAACCTTCCAGGGAGTCTTTGGGAGGTCTCACTCTTTAATTCGCACCCACGTTAAGGAGTTCAAACTTGGCTCGTGGGCTTGGGAGGGTGAAACCCCCTTCAGCTCGGCACACACGAAGGCTCGGCACTCGGGCTCAGTCCCGACCGACCGGGGCCGAACAGGACGGCGGTCGGTGCTCCGTTTGTGGCACCCCACTGCTGAAGTTCACACCCCACAAGAGCTTCGATGCAGATGTTGGCCCTCAAAAGAAAGTGGCCAACTATTCTTTGACATATTCACCCACACCCGTTGCAAAAGCCCAAGAAATGGTGGAAGCACACGTGCGGCGTCTGTTCCTGAACCCGCACCTGCTCATCAGAACAGGCTGTCGTCATTCTTGCGTTCCTGCTCACGAGTCGGTCATAGGCGTAGGTGTCAAAGAAAGGAAATCTATTCGCTCGATGCCAGAAGGGTTGGGACCAAAAAGTCTGCGGGTGAACGACAACAAGTTTGCAAACAAAGCCGATGGATCAGATTCTCAAGCTTTCGGCACTTTCGGGGCTTTGAGTATTGAAGATGTGTCTAGAGAATCGTGTGCGAGCCTTGTTCCCCGAAGAATATCATCACATCCCCCTTACTCAATTTGTCCACGTGCGGTCTTACATTCTATAAATAGTAGATTGTTATAAAATGGAAACCAACATAAGTTAATTTCAACTGACAAACCAGGCTTTGAACCAGCCATTTTTAATAACATCATCCTGTATTTATGTCAGTACCAACACCAAATCCACACACCTCCCCCAATTGCTGTTTATGAAGATACCCGGTTTGGTCATGTTATGATAATTTTCTGCGTAAAGATCGCTGATTTCATAAGAGCAAGGGGCATATCACCATGACTTCGCTTCGCAGGTCACGAGCAAAAACAGCCGTCGCGACCCGTTCACTTGGGCTTCTTCGGGCTTCTTGGCCGCAAGGGGTGTACCGCCCATGGCGACACTTCTCTATTTCGATCGAAGATGATCATTTTTTGTGTGTGTTGTTCTCAGTGGTACCTATCAAACTCCCCGGCACCAGCCCGCTGTAGCGTCTTGCGCCCAACAGGGAGAATTGAGCGCGTCAGGACCACTGGGTCAATCAGGCTTTTCGGGGGTTGCAAGTTGCACCCATCCAAACTTTTCAAGGAGAACAGTCCGCGAAGGTACACGGACTACAGACTGAGGATTGATGGACAGTGACACTGTCCATCTGGAATCCTCACATTGGAGGAAAAAGACACCCAATCCACTCACAATACAACCAGGGAGTCCATGGTTTCCTGGTGAAGCCGGCATGTTCCGAGCTTTAGTAAAGCTGTAAGAGGTATGGGTGAGGCCTGGGTTTCAATCTTTAACAGCTGAAAGATTTAGTTCTCAAGGGAAACCACTATCATTTGTCTAAATCTTGCATGGTTTTGCTCAAAGTTTCTACCTCACTTCTGGCCTCTGCGCGAGCTTTCTTATTTGGCAAAGAACCACAAGTCCTGGCGCTCAGGTTTTCCAGGAGGGCAGGGAATAAGTTGAGGTGCTGAACTGGAAGTGGAGTGCATCCTCATGAACAAAAAATGAAGAAGTAAAAGTGCCTTCCCTGTAGACCAGCAACGGGACTAAAGTAGAGTCCCGTTCCAAAGTTCTGGGTCCCAACTCCGCTGGGCACTGGGTTTGAAATCAACTGTGCCATCCCGAGGTAGGGAGTATCACGTCAACAAAAACCAACCTGGAAGCATCTCCTCATAATCATCCTCTTCTGCCCCTGGATTGATGTCTGCTGCTCGGGCAATGCACCTGGGGACAAGTCGAATGCAAACAAAGTGCCGAGGGTATAGGCCTTCCTTCAAAACACGATCCAACGATACTTCGTCGCTCAGACATGTCGAAAGAAGCAACCAGCCTACTGTGACCTAGAATTGACTCCTGGCCAAATGCTAAAAGAAAAACAATTATCTTTTCGACCCAGTCCAGCCCAGTCCAGCTTCGACCTACCGCATATGCCAAATACGCCACCACATGGGTATGGCAGAGGTCCACTATGCTTCCACCATGTTCCAAAACAATTCAAAAACATTGTAACAAAGACGCTACTAGGAACACGTGCATCGCTTCTAGTAACAAGTGCCTTACTACTAGTAACAAGAAGCTATTAGAAACAATTAATATACAGTATTGTACGACTTCATGGCCCGTCCGGCACGGGCCCGTGCCGATCGTTCCGAACATCTGAGCCGAACCGTCCCAGCGTGCAGAACGTGCGAACGTCTGTCCGAAGCCATGCCAAGCGGCGCAGCAGCACGCTTTTCCGAGCGGGCTTTGCGCTTGGAGCTGCGCTTGCGGCTTTTCAAGTCCTGTGGTTCTTCAATGAAGATTCCAACCTCCCATCTGAACTCTGGTAGACCACTCCTTCTCAATAGCTCTATATATATATATATAACAATTCATTGTAGAAAGGCCAGTCCACTGCAAATGATTTGGAGATTCCATATGGCCATCTCAATCTCCCATTGTCTATTTCGCTATGGTGTTATCGCCCCCAGTAGTAGCAGGACGATCCGTGGGAGAGCAAATCGATCCGGTGGGAGGCGTCCTGCTCCGTGCAGAAGTGGCAGTACTGACAGTCGTCCCCCAGGCGGCATCCATCACCCTGGAGACATGGAGTGCTGCTGCTCAAGAAGGACAAACTTTGTTCAAAAAAGTTGCGACATGCCCACCGACTTAGTCTGCCAAAAGAAAGTGAGAGGCCCCATCACAACAAACCATGCGATCGACCAAGGAAAGAGAAACCGACTTGTTTCGTAGGCCAAAACCCACAAAGCCCCTGAAGAATGAAGATTTTCCGTGCCACGATGCACATTAGACTTTCAGACTGGACTGTGCAAAAGAAAGTATGCGGTCTCACGTCGCAGTCCTTCACATTGAAGTATCCGCAGGGACGGCACTGACCAGCTTGGTGGGCTGCAAGCCTTACGCCGTGATGTTGGCCGAAGTGAGGAACTCCCACCGGGCTACTCTCAACATCTCCCAGTACGGCCTGACAAAGAGTCTCAATATATAATTAACATTAAACTACTATATAACTTCCAAATTCGTAGTCTGACTGTCAGGTAAGCCCCGACCCAGTACGAGGGTCCTTGGGTCCATTGAATGTTGGCCCCCACTCCCATCTACAGGGGTCCCATGGACTTGACCAAACTCCTCTTGAGAAAAAACACAGGAAGTAGCACTGAACACCCTCGGCGAGTGAAAATGATTAATCTTCCTTGTTTTGGAACGCATCATCTTCAACTCCCGCTGGGCCACCCCAGAATTCACTCTCATGCCAGCGAAACATTCGGGTGCAAGCCAACACTCATGCAAGGGGCGAGTGTCAGAACATGAATCTTGCCGCGGGATCCCACCGGTGAAGCAATGATAAAACACACCAGCAAGAAGTCGCAAGCAACTGCAACATAAGATCGATCAGGAATCAGTTGTTACACATGCCTGACACTACCTGACAAAACAAAAGAAAACTAATCAAATCGAATCGACGGCAACTTGACGAACATTGGTGGGGCAAGAAGACGCCCAAGGGGTGCGTTTGAAGATGCCGTTTCGGCTGCAGTCGTCATCGCAGCTGCACGGGCACAGGACAACTGGACGACCGTGAGGTGTTAACCGAAGGTTAAGGCGGGAGCCGCTGCAGCCGTCGACCCACTGCCGAACCACTGGTGACCCGCGTTTTAGAGTGCTTCGTGGCCTTCCGATTTTGCTCACCCTGCTCAGCTTGAAAGGCATGTGGTGCTAGTTATGCTGCCACAATTGCCCTGCACTATTAATGGTATGTTGTATGTTGTTATATACTGTGCTTCATTGCCTTGCATAATCAGCATATTGTGTTTCTCCTTCCCGTTCGTGGGCTCAGCAACGGCCAAGCATGGGCCAACATTCCAACATAGGTCCCGACATGGGCCCAACATGGCAGCAGGGTGTGTCAAGAGAAAGAAAAAGAGATAGAGAAAAAGAGACAGAGAGGGAGACAGAGACAGCGAGAGAGAGAGAGAGAGAGAAAGGGCAAGAGCAAGAGAAAAGCGAAAGAGAAAGACGAAAACGAAAGGGAAAGAAAAAGATAAAAATAAAACTAAACCGAAAGGGGGGAAGGGGAACGGGAAAGGGAAGGCAAAGGGAACGGAAACGGGAAAGGGCAAGAAAGAGCGAAAGAAAGAGAGAAAGAAAGAGAGAAACAGAGAGCGAAAGCGAAAGAGGGACCCTGAAAGCCACAACTGGCTTGCGCACCCTCCTGCTCCTTCCTCTCCTTCTTACCCTTCCTCTCACCTTCGGGTCGGCCGATGCCCGTCTGTCAGGCGTAAGCCTTCAAAATCGGCTCCGTCTTAAGAGTTTTAAGAGAATTACGACCTGTTGGAAGGTCGTTTTGTCCTGTTGGCCCAGTGATCCTCGGGAAATGCAAACCTCCACCTCTACCTCTACCTCTCTGATCTCAGGCCTTCTGATGAATCACAAGAACAAAGCCGCTGGAGCAAAAACTACCTCTGGGCGCTCCGGGCTTCTCCTCGTACTGTGGTGTAGCGCGGCCTCACCAAGGTTCTTGTGGGCCCTTTGGACGATCCGATTGTCCGAGTGACCAAAGAGAGCTTTCTCTGCATGGGAGCACATCCATAGCAAAGTTGTACCACCGCTTCGGAAGCCTTCCACCACTCAAGAGGAGCCATGACTTTGAGCTTGGAACTTGCTTTAAAAAGAATCTTCGATGATCCTTCGGAGCTTGCCTGAACCGGTGGAAGAAGATGCAGCCACAGTGGAGGTTTCACCATCACCCACCTGCGCACGATGAATTGGCCGCACACATGCGGGGACGAAAGCTGTGGGATGAGCCGAACAAAGGCAGCCTAGGAGGTCCAAACCTTCGGAAATGGAATATGAACTCACAACTTCGAGTCACATGTGTTGGCAGGAAGAAAATTGAACCAAAGCCATCCGACAGGTAATTAAACAGAGTTGTCTCCCTTGTTCATCATGCCTTTAGCTCCAGTAAATAACCTGCGATCCCTACAGAGCATGCTAAGTCCACCAAGGATTCCATCAAACTCTTGGGAACTCCACCGGCCCAAGAATACCTCTGCCCACCCCCACCATCCTCTGAATTCGCATCTTCGGCGCCTCTTCCTTGAGGCGCTTCTTGGCCGGATCCGAAGCTGTGCGCCGGAGGGCGGTTGGGAGCCTCGGGCATCGGTGTCGGGTCGGGTCCGTAGGCGCGGTAAGGCGAGCAGCAGCTACACTTGGAGGAAAACTCAGATGGATGGAGTGAAAACAGGTGAACACCACCTGTTTGTAGAAAATCGTCATCCCAAATCGGGGCCATGTGCGTTGGCCCATGATTCTTCCAGGACTGGAGATCATCACTTTGAAGGACCAGAGTGAAACCAATTGAGTTGGTACGGAAAATCATGGAAAATCTGTTGAGAGGGTATGAACTCTCAAAAACCGTCTAGCAACTCACACCATCACACATCCCTAACCCATATGGTATGGTATGGTATTGGTAAGTATGGATAGCTGAGTGACTTTACCCTGATGACTCACATCAATGCGCAAGCCTCCCTATGGAAAACGGAACCAAAACCGCATGAAGCTTGGCCCACACCCAGATAGGGATGCCCCTTTTGGAGAGCTCATCAGGTGATCAATCAGCCACCAGCCACTTCTAAAGACTAAAGAAAGAAGTGGGCGTGTTGACCTTCCTCACAAAATCGTGACCTCCCCTTCAGAATCATTGACCTCTCCATCAGTTGAATCGGAAACCACTTGAGACCTTCCTCTTGGCTCCAAGCAGGAACTCTTGCTCTGGCTCCTCCTCGAGACATTCTTGAAAAATGCTTATATACCCTCTGTCCCCTCGGCAACACAAGTCAACACAACAGGGGCCAAAATGAAAACCCTGGGCCTTTGCTAATAAGAGTATGTACTTTTCCGCCTGGACCAAGCTTTCACAAACTTCTGTAAACCCAAAGGTTGGGATCTAGAAGCATCCTGCTGAAATCTCGAGCATGTCAGTCCCATATGGTCCAATGTCCGTGCCTCAAATTGCTCTACGTTCTATCTACCCTAATGGGCAACTAGTGACAAGTCGCTTGTTGCTTGTTCCAACTCTCCGCCGAGTGGATCATCTTTTCAAGTGGCTGTCCTTCTTGTCATCCAGATTGAACGAAAAAAACGGCACAGTGTTCACATCGAGAAGGACACATGTCTTTGGATTTGAACATCAAGGAGCGTCAAATGTTGGGTCGGGATGTTTTTACCGCTGAAGTCTGATCCACACCTAATCTGGGGGGAACATCAAGCCAGAATCTGTCCCCCAGCAGCCAATGGCAGTCGTGATCTCCTCGTCAACTTCCATCCCATGCACAAAGTGCAAGAAGGTGTTCTTAACTTGCACCTCCGCAAGACAACCACGGGAAACCGCATGCACGAACGGAGGGTCGTTTTCCAGTCGGTGCGAAACGTCGATCGACCAGCGAAGCGAAGAAGCCCAATCAGCTTCGCTTGTTTGGACCTCTGGAGTTGGCGACAGCAGTGAAATCCCAAACAGTCCCGGGCTGTGAAAAGATTGGGACAAAAACATCGCTGGTCCGAGCACAGTGCCACAAGTCTGATGCCGCGACAGTGATTGAAGATGATGGGCTGCGAAATGCACTGCGAAACGTCTACGACGATGTCTAAAACACCTTTTCAGCCAACCTGGGACTGCAACCTGCAACTCTCTGCGTTTCATCACGAGAACAAATCATCACTGCGGTTCGAGTCCTGTGAGTCACCAACTGCGCCTGTTCCCATAGGTCTTGCCAACTCGCGCGGTGTACCTGGGCGAATTCGCCGCGAATTCACTCGGGGACCGCTCGATCGAGCGGACCGCTCCAACGCGGAGACCGCAGGACCGCTCGAAACCAGAAGCACCGCCGGGCTTTCAGGCTTTTCAGATCAAATCGGCACAAGCACCGCCGGGTCACGGGATGTAAGCTGCGCTTCCAGTCGAAACCAGAAGCACCTAAAGCCATGTTCCTCGTCAGGTGCAGACTGACAGCTGAGTGTCAAAACCGCAGATTCTACCTACCAACTTTGCAGCAAGAAGGTCTTTTGCAAAAGAGTAGGTCTTTTTGAATAAGTATGCAATTGACAGGTCTCAAGATCAAGATGATGCAAATTGATTGGCCACGGATGCTCTACTCGGGTGTGCACATTTCAACTTGGGTCTCAACAGCCTGGTCACTTCCTGCATGGACAAGCATAGACCATAGACATAGACAACCAGCATCTGGCTGGTGAATCACCCAGAGGATGCTGAGAACACCTCTGGGGCACCTCTTGCTGTCTTGTGAGGTTCCCAATTTCGTCTGTCTTGCTGGTCCAGGGGCTCACCCAACTCATTCCGGCTTCGGAAGGAGTTCAACTCGCTGTAGGTGACTGAACCAACTCTAACCAGAGTCCCCGAAGCAGCTTCATTTCTTCTTCCCCTTCGAGGAGCCCACGCACCGACCTCTGACCCACTGAGCAAGTGGCCCAGGTGCGCGAGCACAGACGCTGGTGTGGCCAGCTGAAGATCCAACGGCCACGGATGGAAGCACTCAGGCCCTTTCGATCGGGTGTGATATGGTCTGATAGCCGGGTGAAAACATGTAAAACCATGATGGATGCGGCCCCAAAGTTCAAAGGTTGTTAGATGTTGTTGGGGTGATCTGAGAGGTCTGATCTCAAGCACCCCAAATTCTCTCAGATGTGGCAGCGACTGGGGCGGCTCGCTTCTCTCTTGGCCGTTCGGGACCCAAACGAATTCACCAAACTGATTCCGCAAAAAAGTCAACGAGAAGGGCTTGCGGCAAACCTCCCAGAAGCCCAGAAACAAATTGACAAGGTGCTTCAAGACATCCATTTTTGCGTACTTACAAAGGCACAGTGGACAGTGAACTCAAGTGTGTTCATGGCCAGCGCCTCTTTCGCAACACACACCACGACTTCGCGCTGTCAGAGAGTGGAAACGACCACGACGCTGCATCTTCAATGCTTCGCAGGAGGCCACTCTGAAAGTCAATTCGGAACGGGCTATGAAACAGCTCTGTACAATGAAGCTGTCGTGTTGACGTAGCACAGAAAAAGGCGCTAGTTGAAGTGGCCGGGTCTCAGCATCCCCCCTTGCCTCGCTTCGGCTCGGTACAGAAAGCAGTTCCAACAGAAGACTAAAACAGAGCCACAAACACCAATTCCCAAAGCGCTAGACCTTAAAGCGCTAGACCTTGAAGCGCTAGACCTTGAAGCGCTAGACCTTGAAGCCCAGCTAGATTTCAAACACTCTATTCACCCAGCAGCACCCACGGTATTCACCAAGGTGTTCCAGCAAATGTCATGTAAAAACCCTCATGTTCAGTTGGTCGTGTCTCTCATCTGGTCCTGGCCGTTCCTCACCCGAAAGGCGGTCGCTGGGAAGCCCGAACGAAGGCACCTCAGCAGCACTTGCCTGGGGGGCGAGCCAGGCCGATGGCTCGGTGGCGAACTGAACGACGAGAAGCCAGGCAGAGCACCCCATGAGTTAGGCCATAGTACCCACGTGAATGACCCAGAAGTTGGACCCTTGTTCCATATTTGCTTGGTGGAAGTAGCACCCTCTTCACCCCCTCTTTTCGCGAGATTTGTTTCCATATGTATTCAATATGTCGTCTTTTTTTTCAGACCTGACCAGCGGCTGTTGCATCTTGCGAGGGGCAAACCTACAGATCCCCCATTCGCCGACGATCGAAGCTTCGTGGAAACTTCGGCCGAGAATGTGTTCAGCGACGCATTACAAACTGATCATACACACATCCAAACGTGGAACTACACTAGCTTCCCCAAACAATGAAAAATGAACCAACCACTGCTGCAAAAACTTCAGCAACATTTAGAGAACCCCGACATTTGCAGAGTGGGCAAGACTTCAAAAAGGTTTGGATCTCACACCGGCTTTTCTCTGATTTATAGTGCTTTGACTCTGTCACGGGGTGGTCCCAGAGACATTTGGATTGACCCTGCGGTTGTGTCGTTTCGCTAAGCTCTGCCGCAGAAATCACGCAAACTCATGGAGAACCGCAAGACTTTTGCACTCATGCAGGATGCCTCTGCGATCAGGCCATCAACCTGGATTTGGCTCCTTCCGCTACTTCTAAGAAGTCCTGGTGCTTCTTCGTCTGCTGCTGCTCTATGCAACACTGCTGAATGTCATGGCCCCTCAGAGCCACTCCCCTTTCTCGTGCTGACAATTTCACCTCCCTCACAGCTTTTTGCAGCTCTGGGTTGTGTGAACAGGGATTCTTCGGACGGCCTGATGTGAAGAAGCGCTGATTCGTATTCTGAAAGACCACATCCATAGGTGGACCTTTCCTTTTGATTTTGTGGATCCTTGGATTGCTCGGATCTAGGTCCCGGAAGCCATACTCAGGCAACAGCTGGGTGATCTTCTCGTGCTGCTCTTGGGTCTTTGCCTGCTGCTGCAGCACTTTCGTGTCTTGATCTGCACCTCGCAAGTGCGTCTTCTTGTGTCTGGAGCCGCCAAGCATTACCGGAGCTTTTGGACAAACAACTTGCAAGAGTTCTCGGGCCTTGTTTCGGTCCTCCGCCAACAGCGCCTGCTCTGCCCTAGATTCGTGGGATGCTGCACAGATCTGTGCCTCTCGCAAGCCTCGCTGCTGGGTGTAGGCTGACACGTCTGCAAAGTTAGAAGGTCGTGCCTGGCCACACGACTTCCAGTATGTAGGATGCTGGGGGTTCAACTGCTTGGATCTGTTGTGATTGCTCTTCTTGCTTGCCATGGTTAAGCAGCTTCCTTGAGCCGAACCTCAGCTCGCGGAAAAGAATGTCTTCACAACCTGTCCAACGAGCCGTCACGTGTTTCAATTTTGCGTTTCAGAAACTCCGGATCCCCCCGCTCAGGTTGCGGTTGCGGGGTTCAGGTCGACTTCTCAGGCCCTGAACACCGGTTGACGGATTGACCCCTGCCGAAGTGTCGGAGCTCGGTTCCGGATTTTCTCTTGGAAAGAAGAACGAAGCTCGGAACAGGAAGAAGCTGAAGGTAAACCCAAGACATTCCAAGACCCAAGTCTTCAAGGCACTGCTTGGAGTGTCCAGGTTCACTACGCGCCTTCATGGGGCCCTGCACTCCACGAGTTGACCTTGGAAGTCCAAAAACAGAACGCGAGTTTCTCGGATGAATGGGAGAGTCTGTTGAGGAAGCAAGCATTGGACGTAAAAACTGGTGCAGATCGAATTACCAACTAGTTCCCCTCGTCATGACCTGAACCGGACCTTTTTCCACCTCACCAGTGGAATCTGCGACTTGGCAGAGTGAAAAAATATCACCTCGCCTTCCAACAGCACCCCAAAGCCCCAGCAGAACGGGAGCAGTTTCAGAGATGCGTTGAGGCCATCGGCAAATCGTGTGCTCTCTTCTCAGCAGCCTGCGCCGCAGCCTGCGCTGGGCACCACTTGGCCGGCAGCAGTTTGAGGGATCTTATTGCTCATTCGGCATTTCACAGTGGCTTGTAGTGGCTTGGTAGGTTGGTGGTTGGTTATGCCGACGCGAATAACACCAAGGATGTGTCAATGCCCCTTACATGCTGACAGGTCCTAATATGTATGTCTATGTACAAATACAGAAGCTTATTTGATTGCTTGCATGCGTATCTGCGGTTTTTTGAAGATGGTGTCTCCTTCACATGTTCCTGTGTTCTGACTCTCCAAGATGAGGACATGCAGGGCTGGGTGAAACTCTCTATGACTCTATTCCTACTTACTCCTCTTAAAGTATGCTAGCCAGTCAGTTCCCTTTTCCCACGTCCTGCACTAACCACCCCAGTCTCATTCCAAACCTGAGACGCATCGAAAATTATGGTTGATTGTTCGGAGAGAAGGAAGAAATGTGCTTTCCCCATGCAACCTCTACATGTGGACACGAATTACAAAATCTGACGGTGAATGCCCAAGTGTTTTTTGCCTGCACAACATCTGCCGGGGAGAGAATGTCATTCATGTATATATATATAGATGTATTTATGTATGTATGTATGTATGTATGCATGTATACCGCCAAAGCCAAAGGGGCAAGCAGGTCTGAGTTTCAAAAGCCAAAACTTCGTCTGGTTGACCAAGTGGCCCAAGCTCCGATACCGGCCTGGCGCCGGGCCTCCCGCTCAGTGTCGCTCATATTTTTGTTATAGATCACGGGCCTCAGACTGACTTGCAGGCACCAGTGGCATGTGGTGCTGGTTTATGATGACCTAACGAGCCAAGCCACTTTAGTCTGGCCACCTCCTGCCCACAACCCACTGTTGGTATCAAAATGATCTCCTGGGTTTCTTTGATAACTAGTTTCAAATGTGTCCCGCAAAAAAATATAATGAAATATTTGGAATCTGCATCTCGTTGCCATGTTTCCCGTTCGTTGCCAAATATGGTTTACCCACGTGGCCCAAGTTGGTTGGTTTGGCAAATTTAAAGTGCGGCAGCTGTCCGAAACTCTTGCGTCAATCGACACCTCAGCTTTAAAGGTGGTGATGGGCAACTGCGCAGCTCACCACCAGTTGCAAAGCAAAAGGGCTGGTGGACTTCAAGTTCTTCCAAAGACCCCAACCCCAACTGTTGGACCTTTGCAGCTGAAGCGCTTGGATGGGTCACTTGTGTTGGCAGACCTTGGCAATGTGTCACATCCAGGCGTCCGACCGGTCCGACCGTCCAACGTTGACACAAAGTTGCATGCCCATCCTTTGAAGATTCCCATCATTAAACATGTTTGGTAACGCATCCAAAAAAATCGAACTCAAACTCGGGCACTCGCTGACAGCATCCCATGGCAGCCGGGCAAGTGTTCCCGTTCTCACAAACGTTGAAGCTAAGTTTGAACCAAGCCTCGGCCCTGTCGCATTTTTTGCACTCCACGTCATAAAAAAAGTTCCAACACCCATGACAACAAAAACGTTGGACAAACTATGAGGTTTCCACCCCATTCAAAACAACACCCCTGCCATGGCGCTACGCCAAAACACTCTCGTGTTAGGCACACCAACATAGTCACGTGCAAGCAGCACGTTGATGTGTAACGAATGAACTAGCTGTCAAAACCCATCGCCACATCCCAAGAAATGTGTTCGATCCCAAAACAAACAAACAAAAACAAACAAAAAAACAAACAAACAAAAACAAACAAACAAACAAACAAAAACAAACTAAACAAACAAAACAAACTAACAAACAAAACAAACTAAACAAACTAAACAAGCCCAAAAAACAAACAAACAAACAGTTCAACCAACCAACCAACCAACCAATCAACCAACCAACCAACCAACCAACCAAGCAAGCAAGCAAACAAACAAACAAACAAAACAAATAACACAGACAAAACAAAACAAACAAAACCAAACAAAACAAACAAAACCAAACAAAACAAAACAAACCAAACAAACCAAGCAAACCATCCAAACCATCCAAACCACCCAAACCAACCAAACCAACCAAACCATCCAAACCACCCAAACCAACCAAACCAACCAAA